GTTGAAGTCCACAAGTCTTAAAAGTGGCCAAGTTTGGAGACCTCTGGCCTAAACGTTACTTACCTTGGTGAGAGGCAGCTGGGTGGGAAGCATCACCCCTTCCTTAGCCAGCAATTTTTTCTCATCCTCGGTCAGCACCAGCTCCTGGCAGGTGCCTGGGGCTTGTCTCATCATCGAGGAGTTGATAGCCTGCTGGTGCTAGAATGTCACGAGGGAAGAATGAAATCGGCATTAGAAAAATTAAATAAACTGGGTTTCTAGATTATCCCCATCATAGAACAAGGAATAATAGAGTTGGAAGGGACCTCAGAGGTCTTCTAGTCCTACCCTAGACCACTCCAGACAAATGGCTGTCTAATCTCTTCTTTAAAACCACCAGTGATGGAGCACCCACAAGTTCTGGAGTCCCACTGATTAATTCTTCTCACTGTCCTTAATTCCAGGTTGCTTTTCTCCTAGATTAGTTTCTATCCATTGCTTCTTGTCCTGCCTTCGGGTGCTTTGGAGAATAATTTAACTCCCTCTCCTTTGTTGCAACCCCTGAGATATGGGAAGACTGCTATCATGTCACCCCCCTAGACATACCTAGTTCCAGCAATAGTTCTTCCTATGTTTCAGCCTCCAGTCCCCTAATCCTCTTGGTTGCTCTTCTCTGCACTCTTTCTAGAGTCTCAACGTCGTTTTTTACACTGTGGCGACCAAAACCGGATGCAGAATTCCAAGTGTGGCCTTACCAAGGCCTTATAAAGTGATATTAACACTTCAGGTGATCTTGAGTCTATCCCTCTGTCTATGTAGCCTAGAACTGTCTTGGCTTTTTTTGACAGCTGCACCAGACGGCTGGCTCGGGGATGGTCTCCCAAATCCCTCTCAAAGTTGAGCCAGGTACAACCATTCTTCATATGTTTTAGCATCCAGCCCGCTTGGGGCTTGCTGTTGGTTGCTCTTCTCTTTACTTTTTCCTGAGTCAGATCTGAATTCAGTAGAAAGCGTCTTCAAGTGTTCTTAGAAATAACCATAAAAAACATAAACTGGGTTTCTAGATAGCCCCACCATCATCGTTATTAGGAGAGAAATACTTGCCATTTCAGAGTTGTTGGAAAGCAGGAGATCCTTAATTGTGAGCATGCAGGAGGGTGGGTTTTGATGGGCGGCACCTGTTATTTGTCTCTCCTCTGGATAAAAACCAGCAGCCCACATATCTGCAAAGAAATGAAGGAGGGGATCTGTTGGTTTGGGTGCAAACAAAAATCCAGCTTTTCAGTGTACATGGAAATGGCTTTTTGAACAGATAAGATTTGTTCTTCCAGTATACTATTATCTTATCTGGTTGAGAGCCACTCCTCAGAGTCAGGCCTTTCTGGTTACTTGTTAATCTGAATTCTGGTTGTTGTTTGATAACAACAGAGTTAACTTGAGTGCACACCTGGGTGGAGGAAGAAAATATTCATTTTACACTACAAACCCAAACCCTTTCAGAAGGTATCCCAGGTTTCATCCTGCAACAACCAGGATCCTACGATTCTAGACAACTCTCCTGCATCACTTTGCTGCCTAGCGAAAATGTCACACTCACACCTCTGCTTGACACCACCTTAATTGTTCCAAACTCCCCTTAGCGTTTGGGGTCTTGTTGTGTTGCAATGATTCCGCAGGTGTTTCTCAACCTTTACAACTTGAAGAAGAGCAGATTTCAACTCCGAGAATTCTGAGAGTTGAATTCCACTCGTCTTATAGTTGCTAAGGTTGAGGAACACTCCGTTTCTCGCAACAGAATAAAAGAGTTAGAAGGAACCTTGGAGATCTTGTAGTCCAACCCTCTACTCATGCAAGTGATCCTATATCATTTCAGACTGGTAGCTATCCAATCTCTTCTTAAAGGCCTCCAGTGATAGAGTACCCTCAATTTCTAAAGACAAACTGTGTACCACTGATTGTTAGGAAATTTCTCCTTAATTCCAGGTTGCCGCTCTGTCCTTGATTAGTTTCCACCCGTTGCTTCTTGTCCTGCCTTTTGGAGCTTTGGAGAATAGCTTGACTCCCTCTTCTTTGGGGCAGCCCATCAAATATTATAAGACTGTTATTATGTCACCTTCTAGACCAGGGGCCTTCACACTTGACAGCTTTAAGACTTGTGGACTGCTACTCCCAGAATTCCTCCAGCCATGTTAGCTCAGGAATTCTGGGAGTTGAAGTCCACAAGTCTTAAACTTGCCAAATTTGAAGACACTTCTTCTAGTTTTTCTGTTCACCAGACTAGATATACCCAATTCACGCAGCTGTTCTTCATAGGTTTCAACCTCCAGTCCCCTCATCATCTTTGGTTGCTCTTCTCTGCACTCTTTCCAGAGACTCAACATCTTTTTTTACAGTGTGGCAACCAAAACTGAATGAAAATATCCCAGGTGTGGCCTTACCAAGGCCCTATAAAAAGTGGTATTAACACTTCAGGTGATCTTGATTCTATCCCTCTGTTTTATGCAGCCTAGAACCACGATGGCTTTTTTGGCTGCTTACACACATACACACACACAGAGAAAGACAGAGAGAGAGAGAGAGAGAAAGAGAGATCATATTTAAGTGATTGTCCATGAGGACTCCAAGGTCCCTCTCAGCGTTACTGCTATTGAGCCAAGTTTCACCTAATCTGTGTCTTTTTTTTTTTTACCTCAGGCAATGGATTCTGCACATCAAAGTGGGAAGATATTTAAAGCAAGTTCCATTTCTTCCTTATTTTAGCCTCATTGCTTTGGTTCGTACGTGCAGTCTGATGGAGGATCACCATTTTCAAAGGCCTTAGGCAAAACACTTCCTGGACTGTTTTGAAAGCAACAAATCCAATGCCACTGCTGTCATCACAAGCTGTTTTGGGGGTGGGGAGATGCAGCTCTTTTAAGGGGTGACATTTTTGTGATTCGGTATATTCTGAAGCGGCTGCGGGAGATCAGAAATGGATGCCTGACTCGGCTCTACTTATTAGCATCACTCTTGAGGCGGCAGCCGTATCGATGCGTGACAGGTCCACGAGATGGCGATTTAATATCAAATCGCAACTTTAAAGTTAATTTAATGCTAAATTCCCTGTACGGATCGTTGGGTCAAGGATTTGCAAGCCAATTACAGGTAGTCCTACACCTACAACAGAACATTTTAGGCACCGTTCAAAGTTACAAAAGTGACTTATGACTGCTTTTCATGCTTAACAACCATGGAGGCATCCCCTCGGGTCACTTGATCAAGATTCAGAGGCTTGGCCAAACTGACTCGAGTTTATGACGGTTGCAGGGTGGTGTGTGTGTCATGTGATTCCCTTCTGACAAGCAAAGTCTGCAGGGAAGCCAGACTTGCTTAACAACCGTGTGACTAATTTAACCAACTGCGGCGATTCACTGAGACAAATGTAGCAAGGAAAGTCGTAAAATGAGGCAGAGGTTCACTTTACACCTGCCTCGCTTAGCAACAAAAATTTGGGGCTCTGTTGTGGTCGTAAGTTGAGGACTACCTGTACGCTGCGGATGCCAATTTGTTTCTTTGGGGGTAACTACCAATAATCTATCTACATATATCATATGTAATGATATCAGGCACCCTCTGTGTATTTTGAGCTGTGATGCTCATTTCCCTTTTCTGTTTACCAGAACGACAGAGTTGGAAGGGATCTTGGAGGTCTTCTAGTCCAACCCCTATTCCATTCTGGACAAATGATTGAGTAAGGCTGATGAAAACAGGTGTTCACACTAATGACCGGGGTTTTAAGGTTCTCCATGGGTGGACACGGTGGAGAGCCCTTCTCTCAAGTGCCTTTTTTTCCAAGAGGCAACTGGACTTTCTGGTTGTTCTCTGAAGACCTTTCGCTTCTCACCCAAGAAGCTTCTTCAGCTCTGACTGGATGGTGGGGAATGGAAGGGTTTGTACCCCTTGCAGACAGCTGGTCACTTGCATCCTTTTAGAGGGTCGTTGAGGCCACTTGGAGAACCCTCAGCAGAGCAGGAGGCCTACGACATCTATCTCCAGTCTACAACACGGTCCTTTCAGCAGTTCCAAGAAGGCTCCGTACCCATTTGCACTACCCAGGTGACCCTGAGGACACAGGTAAACCTCCAGGTGGCCTTAACGACTCTCTCAAAGAATGCAAATGACCAGCTGTCTGCAAGGAGTATAAATCCTTCTGTTCCCCACCATCCGGTCAGAGCTGAAGAAGCTTCCTGGATGAGAAGAGAAAGGTCTTCAGAGGAAAATCAGAAAGTCCAGTTGCCTCTTGAACAAAAGCACCTTTGGGACAACCATGACCTTGGAGGACGGAGAATCTCCATAGACATTGCTCTCAAGTGCCCCAGAGATGGTGGTTCGCCTGGTTTCACATTCAAGGAAAGAAAAACAGGGCACTCACTGAAGTCTATGGAGATGTCCATCTCTCTCAGCTCGGTGGCTGGTCCTTTTAGGACAGGTAAGGCTTGGCAGGAGTCCTGGCATGGCGCATAGGCCAGGTCACCATCGGAGTAGGCCTCTGGACTTCCAGTTGGAAGGTAATGTGGAGGGCTGTCTAGCTGATCAGAGTTTGGATCCTCAGATATGCCACTGTCACTGGCAGCTGGAGACCAGCTTGGAGAATCAAGGACAGTGTTTGCCGCTCCTAAGATGGAGTTGATGAAGTCTTCGTTCTCTTGAGGGTTCAGCAAATCCTACCGACAGAATGGAGAGGTTCTCTGTGAAAAAGCAACCTTAGAAAGCAACCTTCCTACAAGGAAACAAAGCTTCAACAGAGCAATCTCAAAACTAATTTCCTCTTGGAATCTTACATAAACCATTAATATCATGCTGAACATTTTAACGAGGCAATATAAGCCCTGAAACGGAATATTCTTAGTTTTCGTTAAGATGGTATCCCTCTGAAGAGTCTTTGGTGCTTTCTGAGTTTGGCTGTTTTTGTTAGAAATTCTGTTTATATATAGCACCACACAGAGCAAACAGTCACCATGTGCTTTACTGCTCAACTCTATATAACGGTAACAGGAAACAGGAATAAAAATAAGAATAAAAGAGCATAGAGTATATACCATAGATCCAAACTTGTAAATACTGCCATCTACTGGCTGAATGCTACTGTACTTGTTGCATAGAAATACATTCCAACCATGAATTCCAACAGTTTTCTTACAGATGTTTCATTATCCAAACTAGTTAACATCATCAGTGGTTTATCTAGTTTGGGTCATGAAATGTCTGCAAGAAAACCACCAAGCTCAGAGAGCACCAATCACCTCTCATTTCAACTCTGAGCTACAAATATCCTCCTTTACTGGTATCTCTCTTCCTCCCCACTGCTGTTCTGTTACTTTTAACACTTGCCAAATAATGAGGACATTTTCAATTGGCAACTGCCAACTGCTTTAGTCAAGGGCACTGTCAGACCCACGAGATAAGCCAGGTAAGAAAAGAGATTCTACAAATGATACCGGACTTGGTTGATTTAGGCAATAATAGCATAATTTTGAAAGCTTAATGGTGCCTCTTACACTAATGAGAGTTAAGATGGAGCAGTCTTGAGTTTCTTTCTAACACTTTTCTGGGCTTAATTTGTGTTTGGTTGCAAGTTTATGTATTTCTTCTCCAAGAAGTGTTTTAGTGTTACTCCTAAAATTCTATTCTATGTTATGCTATTCTATTCTTTCCTTATTCTCTATTCTATTCATTCCTTTTTTCTCTATTCTATTCTATTCTATTCTACTCTACTCTACTCTACTCTACTCTACTCTACTCTACTCTACTC